CAAGAAACCCAGAATTGCTAAAACAATCCTCTACAATAAAAGATCTTCTGGAGGTATCTCCATCCCTGATCTCAAGCTTTATTATAGAGCAACAGTTGTAAAAACTGCATGGTACTGGCATAGAACCAAATGGTGGATCAATGGAATCAAATAGAAGACCCAGAAATAAACCCACACACTTATGAACACCTGATTTTTGACAAAGATGCCAAAACCATACAATGGAAAAAAGATAGCATCTTCAACAAATGGTGCTGGTCCAACTGGATGTCTACATGTAGAAAAATGAAAATAGATCCATACTTATCACCCTGCACAAAACTGAAGTCCAAGTGGATCAAAGACATCAACATAAAACCAGATACGCTAAATCGGTTAGAAGAAAAAGTGGGGAACAACCTAGAACTCATTGGTACAGGAGAAAACTTCCTGAACAGAACACCAACAGCACAGGCTCTAAGAGCAACAATCAATAAATGGGACCTCATGAAATTGAAAAGCTTCTGTAAAGCAAAGGACACCGTCATCAAAACAAAGTGACTGCCTACAATTTGGGAAAGAATCATCACCAACCCTTTATCTGACAGAGGACTCATATCCAATATATATAAAGAACTAAACAAGCTGAAAAGCAACAAACCAAGTAATCCACTTAAGAAATGGGGAACAGAGATAAATAGAGAATTCTCTGCAGAGGAATATCCAATGGCAGTGAAGTACTTAAAGAAATGCTCAACCTTATTAGCCATTAGGGAAATGCAAATCAAAACAATACTGATATTTCACCTTACAACCATCAGAATGACCAAGATGAAAAACTCAAGGGACAACACATGCTGGAGAGGTTGTGGAGAAAGGGGAACCCTTCTCCACTGCTGGTGGGAATGTAAACTTGTACAACGACTCTGGAAATCAATCTGGTGCTTTCTCAGACAACTAGGAATAGCACTTCCTCAAGATCCAGCCATACCACTCCTAGGCATATACCCAAAAGAGGCTCAAGTACACAAAAAGGACATTTGCTCAACCATGTTTGTAGCAGCTTTATTTGTAATAGCCAGAAGCTGGAAACAAGCCAGATGCCCCTCAACTGAAGAATGGATGCAGAAACTGTGGTACATCTATACAATGGAGTATTACTCAGTAACGAAAAATAAGGAAATCATGAAATTTGCAGGTAAACGGTGGGAGCTGGAAAGGATCATCCTGAGTGAGTTGTCCCAGAAGCAAAAAGACACACACGGTATATACTCACTCATATGAACATACAACATGGAATAAACCCACTAAAATCTGTACATCTAAACAAACTAAGCAAAAGAGAGGACCCTAACTAAAATGTTCAATCCCCATCCTGAAAGGCAAAGACGATGGACATCAGAAGAAAAAGAAAATAGTAAACAACCTCGGAACCTGCTACAGAGGGCCTCTGAAAGACAGAAGAAAACAGGAAACAATCTTGGAACCTGCCACAGAGGGCCTCTGAAAGCCTCTGCAGTATAGACTGTCAAATCAGATGCTGAGCCTGATGGTCAACTGATGGGCAGAGTGAATGGAATTTTATGTAAGAAGTGGGAAATAGTAAGAGCTGAAGGGGACGGAAACTCCCCAAGCAGAGCAACAGAAGAAGATAATTTGAACACAGGGAATTTCCCAGAGACTCATACTCCAACCAAGGACTATTCCTGGAGATAACCTAGAACCCCTGCACAGATGTAGCCCATGACAGTTCAGTGTCCAAGTGGGTTACATAGTAATGGGAAGAGGGATTGCCTTTGACATAATCTGATTGGCCTGCTCTTTGATCACCTCCCCCTGAGGGGGGAACAGCCTTACCAGACCACAGTAGAGGACAATGCAGCCACATTTGATGAGATGATAGACTAAGATCAGAAAGGAGAGGAGAACCTCCCTATCTTTGCCTTGGGGAGTGGCATGGATGCAGAAAGGGGATGGAGGGTTGGATCAGGAGGGGAGGAGGGAGGTGCTTATGGGAGGATACAAAATGAATAAAGTCTAATTAATAAAAAATTTTAGAAAAACTGCATGGTATTGGCATAGAAACAGAAAGGAGGATTAATGGAACCTAACAGAAGACCAAGAAATAAACCCACAAACTTATGGACACCTGATATTTGACAAAGAAGCCAAAAACATTCAATGGAAAATAGACTGCATCTTCAACAAATGGTTCTGTTCCAACTGGATGCCTACATGCAGAAAAATGAAAATAGATTCATCTCTATCACTCTGCACAAAACTAAACTCCAAATGGATCAAAGACCTCAACATAAATCCAGATACTCTAAATCGGTTAGAAGAAAAAGTGGGGAAGAGCTTAGAATTCATTAGCACAGGACACAACTTCCTGAACAGAACACCAACAGCACAGGCTCTAAGAGCAACAATCAATAAATGGGACCTCATGAAACTGAAAAGCTTCTGTAAAGCAAAGGACACTGTCATCAAAACAAAACGAATGAGTTCATGTCAGAGAGAGTCCCTGTTCCTATCACAATGGAACCCTCTTGGTTACTGAACTGCCATGGGCTACATCTGTGCAGGGGTCTTAGGTTGTCTCCATGCATAGTTTTTGGTTGAAGTGATTGGCCTGCTGTTTGATTACCTCCCCCTGAGGGAGAAGCAGCATTACCAGGCCACAGAAGAGGACAAGGCAGCCAGCCACTCTTAATGAGACCTAATTGACTAGGATCAGAGAGAAGGAAAAGAAGTCCTTCCCTATCAGTAGACTTGGGGAGGAGCATGCATGCAGAGGGTGGAGGTAGGGAGGGATTGGGATGGGAGGAGGGAGAGAACCACGGGGGGGGGCGGAGGATACAAGGTGAGTAAAGTATAATTAATAAAGAAAAATAAAATTAAAAAAAAAAGAATGCCTACAGATTGGGAAAGAAGCTTCATCAACCCTTTATCTGACAGAGGACTCATATCCAGTATATATAAAGAACTAAAGAAGCTGAAAAGCAATAAACCAAGCAATTCAATTAAAAAATGGGGAATGGAGCTAAACAGAGAATTCTCGATAGATGAATATAGAATGGCAGAGAAACACTTAAAGAAATGCTCAACTTCATTAGCCATTAGGGAAATGCAAATCAAAACAATCCAGAGATTTCACCTTACACCCGTCAGAATGGCCAAGATAAAAAACTCAAGTGACAACACAGGCTGGAGAGGTTGTGGAGAAAGAACCCTCTTCCTTTGCAGGTGGGAATGTAAACTGGTACAACCACTTTGGAAGTCAATCTGGAGCTTTCTCAGACAATTAGGAATAGTGCTTCCTCAAGCCCCAGCTATACCACTGCTAGGTATATACCCAAAATTTGCTCAAGTACACAACAAGGATATTTGATTAACCATGTTTGTAGCAGCTTTATTTGCAATAGCCAGAACCTGGAATGAACCCAGATGTCCTTCAACGGAGGAATGGATAAAGGAATTGTGCTATTTTTTATACAATGGAATTCTACTCAGCAATCAAAAACATTGCTGAATCATGAAATCATGAAATTTGCAGTCAAATGGTGGGATCTAGAAAAGATCATTCTGAATGAAGTATCCCAGAAGGAGAAAGATAAACATGGTATATGCTTGCTTATATAGACCTATAAGATATGATAAACATAATGAAATCTATACACCTAAAGAAGATAAAGAAGAAGGTGGACCCGGGGTAAGAAGACCAATCCTCACTTAGAAAGACAAATGGGATGTGCATTGAACATATGACAGGTGTCTACCGCAGAAGGCATCTGAAAGAGTCTACCTAACAGTGTTTCAAAGCAGATACTAAGACTCATAACCAAACCTTCTGTAGAGTGCAGGGAATCATATGAAAGAAGGGGAGTTAGTATGATGTGGAAAGAATAGGAGCTCCACAAGGACCAAAGGGGTCTTTTCTGAGACTGACACTCCACCAAGAACCATGTATGGATATAACCTAGAACCTCTGCTCAGATGTAGCCTGTGGTAGCTCAGTAACCAATTGGTTTCCCATAGTAAGTGGAACAGGGACTATTTCTCACAGGAACTCAATGGCAGGCTCTTTGATCTCCCTACCCCCCAAGGGAGGAGCAGTCCTGCTAGGCCACAGAGGAGGACTTTGAGGCCAGTCCTGAAGATACCTGATAAAACAGGGTCAGATGAAAGGGGAGGAGGTCCTCCCAAGTTAGTGGACTTGGAAAGGGGCAGGGAGGGGATGAAGGAGGAGGAAGGGTCTGGGAGGGAATGAGGTTGCAGGATAAAGCTGGGATACTGATTTAATAAAAATGTAACTAAAAAAAAAAAAAAACCTCGATTAACAACACATGCTAGAGAGGATGTGGAGAAAGGGGAACTCTCCTCCATTGCTGGTGGGAATGTAAACTTGTACAACTAGTTTGGAAATTAATCTCAGACAATTATTAATAGGGTTTTCTCAAGATCCAGCTATACCCCTCCTAGGCATATATCCAAAACATGCTCAAGTATACAACAAGGATATTTTCTCAACAATGTTCATAGGAGCTTTATTTGTAATAGCCAGAAAGTGGAAACACTTCCTTTAAATAACAGAAACAAGAGTTTGAGTTCAAGCAATACATGCTCAAAGTCATGTTCTTTGTTTATTATACTCCTTGAATCACCAACTTCACAAATGGTATCTAGTGGCTTAGTAAAACATTAAATAAAATCCAATGGACTGAAGAAAAACATGAACAAGATCCAATTATAAAATGTTTTTCTTCTCACTTACTCCCTCTTATATCCTCAAACTTCATGTCAAACTAGAAAAACAAACAAAAAAACCGTCAATAATATGAGCCACTCTCTTAGAAGTGAAATAAAACTATCAGTTGTGGTTGGAGATATTTGAAAGCATAAATTTACTCCTTTTGAATTGCCTCAACACAAACTGGACTGATTAGAAAAGTGACATACAACTATTATGTTCTTTTGTCCAAGCACAATAAGAGTAGTAGCATCAAAGCTGTACATCTTACCACATTATTTTTATCAACTTGCTTAAGATAGTAGTTTCGGTGATCACCATTTTGAGCAAAGGCAGGACCATGCTTGCACATTAGCAAACACTTTGTTATTATCTTATTTTTAACAGACTTCTATTGAGGTGGCTGGTAAGTGCATGGATTACCTTTAAAGCTCATATAGGTCATTTTTTTTCAAATTCTTCATATTGCAAACATGGACAAAAGCATCAACACTGCATTAATTTTTCTCATAATGTCATATATTGGAGTACCTATTTCAATATTAGTTGCAATAGTAGCAAATTATTAAAACAGTCCCTCTCCCGCCAAAGGGAAGATGATGTATAGAATTGTACACTGGAGTATTATTTGTAGTAGCAGCAAACATTTCAAATCCTCATATTGTTTTCAAAAGGGCACTGGCTACACAAATTATGGCACACAAATACAGCAAACAATGAGAGAAAACAATGAGAGAGTTTCTAAGTGCTGGTGTATGTTAAAAGATTAAAGCATGCTCCAAGATGGTGGTGACCAGTGTGCCCCATTTCTGAAGGGCAAAGGATCAGAAACACCAAAATTAGTGAGTAGATTGGTGGCTAAAGCCAGACCATAGATTTTGAGGCTTCGCTGACTAGAGAAGACAACCTATGAGATGGGACAGATTGTATCCAGGCCTGCCGTGAACATATCCAGGGTTCTGAGAGTGGCAAACTATCAACTGAATGCACTATTGGCTGCAACATCACTTGCTCAGAGGGCTCCGCAGCAGCTGTTGGAGCAGTGGAGAGTGCACCTCCTCACTCTAAAGCCCGACAGGGGACCCAAATCTGAGAGTAGAAAAATGTGGGCTCTCCCAGATTACCATGTACAACTGCAAGTTAGTGCATCTGAAAGAGAGTGCCTACAGAACTTCATATTCAGTGTCACTTTCCTCCATCCACCAGACATCAGATTCTTCCAAACCACACACCCACTGTAGGCAACATAGGAATCCCTGGGACAGTGTTCTCAACATTAAAGCCCCTATTCTGTGGGTCTCCCAGCGGAGTACAGCCAAACAATTCAAGGAAACAATTCCTGGAACCAAGATGGTGCGGCTCAGACAGATAGATATAAGTGCTTGGAGCACAATACCTATACAGGCCTGTGGGCCACTGAGCCATACATAGCACCTGCACAAGCACATTGCACCCAGGAACTGCACCTTCACAGCAGCCTGCACTTAAGCCCCTCTTTCACACTCCATCCTTTACTCTCCCCCTCTCACTCTTACACTTGCACACAGGCAGTTACACCCTTCTTCCTTTAGCTGCATCTGAAACAACACTCACTCTGAAATTTGTGAACCTTTCTCATCTTCCTGAAGAATACTGCAGACTTCAGAGAGAGACAGACACAATCTGCAGTACAGATTCTAGAAACAAACAGCATAGGCAACTGACCATTAGATGGCTAGTAGCCAACATAAGAACACATCCAACAAAAATTAGTACATCACTGCTTCTTCAGAAATCAATGGATATTGTAATTGGGAAACAGAGGAAAATGATTTAAAATCTATACTAATCCAGTTATTAGTGGCACATACAGAAGAAATGAACAAAAAAATACATGGCATCATGAAAGACAGGATTCCACATTCAAACAAATGAAGGAAATAGTGCATGACATGAAAAAAGATTTATATCTTACAGCTTGTGCTGTTGGTGTTCTGTTCAGGATGCTCATGTAAATGAAAAGCTTCTGTAAAGCAAAGGACACTGCCTGCAGAACAAAACAACAATAAACAGACTGGAAAAGGATCTTCACCAACACTATATTTGACAGAGGGCTAACATCCAGTATATATAAAGAACTCAAGAAGTCAAACAGCAACAAATCAAGTAATCCAGTTAAAAAAAAAAGGGGGGGGGTACACTGCTAAACAGAGAATTCTCTGTAGAGGAATATAGAATGGCTGAAAACACTTAAAGAAATGCAAAATGTCCTTAGTCATTAGAGAAATGTAAATCAAAACGACCATGAGATTTCACCTTACACCCATCAGAATGGCTAAGATTAAAAACAGAGACTCATATTCCAACCAAGGACTATTCATGGAGATAACCTAGAACCCTGACAATGCAGCCACTTTTGATAAGAACTGATAGACTAAGATCAGAAAGGAGAGGAGGGCCTTCCCTATCAGTGGACTTGGGGAGGGGCATGCATGCAGAAAGGGGGGGAGAGTGGGACCGGGAGGGGAGGAGGGAGGGGCTTATGGTGGGATACAAAATAAATAAAGTGTAATTAATGAAAGTTAAATAAAAAAAAATACTCAAGTGACAACACATGCTGGAGAGGATGTGCTGAAAGGAGAACCCTCCTCCATTGCTGGTAGGAATGTAAACTTTTACAACCACTTTGAAAATCAACCTGGTGCTTTCTCAGAAAACTAGGAATAGTGCTAAGTAAAGATCCAGCTGTACCATTCATAGCCATATGTCTAAAATATGCTCAACTATAGGACAAGGACATTTGCTCAATCATGTTCAAAGTAGCTCTCTTCATAATAGCCAGAACCTGAAAACAACTTAGTTTTCCCTCAATGTTAGAATGTGTACAGAATTTGTAGTACATTTACACAATACTAGTCAGCAATTAAAAACAAGGAAATCATTAAATTTGTAGGCAAATGGTGGGACCTAGAAAAAAATGATCTTTAGTGAGGTAATCCAGAAACAGAAAGACACACTTGGTATATACTCACTTATAAGTTGTTATTAGGTATACAATATAGGATAAACATGCTAAACTCTATGCTCCCAGTGTAGGGAAACCATAAGGAAAACTTAAGGGAAGATGTTCAATCCTAATTCAGAAGAGAAAACATGAAAATCACCTGAAGCAGGAGAAGACAGAGAACAGGACATGAGTCTACCACAGAGGGCCTCTAAAGACTCTATTGATAGATGTATCAAAGCAGAGGCTGAGACTCTTAGCCAAACTTTGGACAGAGGATATGGAATTTTATGAAAGAAGTGGGACATTGAACTTCGTGGAGTGGAATGAAGTTCCACAATGAGACCAAAAAAGCCATTGACCTAGGCCTAAGGGGACCTGAAGCTACCAGTGTTCCAAACAAGGACCATGCATGGAGAGTACCTTGACCCCCTGTTGAAGGAAATCCATCGACTGCTCAATCTCTAAGTGGGTTCCCTAGTAAGGAGAGAAGGGGCTGTCTCTGGCATGAACTCAGTGGCAGGCTCTCTAATCACCTCCTCCTGGAGGATGCAGCCTTGCCAGGCCACAGAGGAAGACATTGCAACCAGTCTTGATTAGACCTCATAGGCTAGGGTCAGATGGAAGAGCAGGAGGATCTCCCCTATCAGTGGACTGGGGGATAGGCATAGGGGGAGAAAAGGGAAGAAGAGTGTGACTGGGAGAGACAAAAGAGGGAATCACAGCAGGGATACAAATTGAATAAATTGTAATAAATGATAAAAAATACAAAATATATGAATTAATTAATTTTAAAAATTGACAAAAGAAATTTGATGCAATGGCTACTGTACAGGTCATATATCTAAGCCACAAAATTATATCAGTTCTTTGGTATTCCTTTGGTACTTTAAAGGAAGAAATGTTCAAACTGTGTTTTTTGTTTGTTTGTTTGTTTGATTATATCAGTGAAAAATTAAAGGCTATCTTTTAAAACCTATTTTTGTTTTTTTTTAATTATTTTTATTAATTACAGTTTATTCACTTTGTATCCCCCCTGTACCTCTCTCCCTTCTCCCCTCCCAACCCCACCTTTTCTTTTCCCCACCCATGTCTCTCTCCCAGTCCATTGATAAGGGAGGTCCTCCTCCCCTTCCCTCTAATCCTAGTCTATCAGGTCTCATAAAACTTATTTTTGAATCAGACAACTATCTCCTTCATTAGGACTAGAATGACATTTTTATAAGTGTTTTTGCTAATTTGATACATTGAAATAGTAATTTTGCTTTCTTTACTCTAAAGTCGGTAACATTAACCAATTTGTGGTAATCTAACTGATATGAATCTCATTTCTTCTAAGAATGTATAAGACTCTTCCCATTTGCTCTCCCTAGTTTTTTTGATTCCTTACCTGATACCAAGATCTCATAAGTATTGAGTTATACAATGATCTTTATACCATGTTAATAAATTTAGTACTAAAATTTTCCTGTTCTCTGAAACTTCTCAATAGTAGTGTTTGCATCAGTTGATACAACTTGATTCCACAGAGTTATGGTCCTTCACTAATGATCAAGTAGAAACTTTCCTACCATAATTTATCATTATCTACCATGTCATTTGTCATCGTCTACCATGTCATGATTAGCTTTGTACATTTTGGTCCTTAATCTGGAGTGTTGGGCTTGTTATTGATATAGTCATGTGGAAAATTTCTAGTGAAGGACTCTCACAAGTAGAAAATTCCTTCAGATAAAAGCTTGTGGAGTCCATTAAAGCAAGAATTCCTTAGCTAAATAAATCTCCTTTATCCTAAAGAAATAATGGTGTTTTTTAGACTCTGGAGACTATCAGAACTTTGGAATTCTAGATGTACCACTTTTGATTATGCTACTAACCATTATGTTTTCCCTCATCGGTAAAATAAAAATATTGGTATTATGGTTCTGGAGATAACTTATTTAATAATTATGCAGGATTTAGAAACAATATCTGGCATATAATGAATGAGTGAATGAGATGTTGCCTAACATCGCCACTACAAACGTCACCGATTTTTAAACTTAAGGGTTACTTTTTTTTTGTCACGTTGAGTATCTTTTACTGTGTTTAAGGGTTACTTTTAAAAAATATTTTAAAAAAATAATTTGTTAAACCTTTCTGAAATCTCTGGAACTACATGATGGGTCAACAATCCATGGTCTTGGTTTAGGTCAGAGCTTTGTTTTCATGGTGATCTCGTAGCTGTGTTAGCATAATGTGATTTGGAATAAACAGTTATCAAACAATATCATATAACATGAAAATATCAGTATTAAAGTTTCGTTGCTTTTTAATTAAATTGTATAAACCAAATCAACCACTGAATTTGCCGTGATAG